TCTGGGCCCCACGGGGGCCTGAGGCTCTGGTGGGGGACCTCAGTTCCCCGTGGGATATCCCTGTTCTCCATGGAGATCTCTCTGCCCCACAGGTGTGTGTGGATCTGTGGGGGACCCCTGTGCCCCATAGGGGTGGGGGGAATCTGGTGGGGGACCCCTGTGGCCCGTGCGATGTCTCTCTGCCCCATGGAGAACCCAGTGCCCCACAGAGGTGTAAGGATCTGCCGGGGAAGCCCTGTGCCCCACGGGGGACCCCTCGAGCCCCCTGAGGGCCCATGGGGTGACCCCTCGGGGCAGGGTCCCTCCTGGTGTGGGTCAGCCCCCCCATAACTTCAGGGTGCCTGCCCCCTGGAAGAGTCCGGGGGGTTCTGGCACCTGTGGCTGCCGGGCCGGCGCGGGGTAACTCAGCCGGTGCTGCCTCGTGCTTGGCTTTGATTTTTAAATATTTACATGCGAGCGCTAACAGCGTACACTGGGAACAGCCAGATTGACCCAAGGAACTTAATGTACTTGAAATACCTCCGCCTTCTGACAGAGAATGAACACAGGCTACAGCCAGCTGTTTATGTATTTTTCTTAATAAATACTTAGCAGAGCCTAAGCATGCGTAAGAGTAGATAATTCAGTGTTATACGGGCTGGCTTCGCTGTTGTCAGCAGGACACTGCGCTGGAAGACTTTTCCTTTAATAGCAACTGCCAGCTCTGTGTCATACTTGCTCCTTTGAACATAAACACTGAGACGGTGCGCTGAATTCCTGGGGGTGGTTACTGGGAGGGTTTTACTGGGAGTCAGCAGCCTTGTAATGTGGCTTGAGGTGGCCCGTGAGTCACCTTCCTCTTCTCACTCACCTGAGCAGATCCAGGTATTAACACCAGCTTGGCCAAAGCCAAGATCTGCGTCGTGTTTCTTGACAAAGCCATCAGTGAAGCCTTAATTATAACGTGGCTGTCATTAAGGTCATGTCGCTGTGTTTACATGGCAGAGCATAATGTGCCTTCAGTCAGCAGAGTTCAGGGAGTCAGCCTGGGTCCTCCCCGGCTGGTTTCTTTGTGTCTGGGCCAAAGGAAAATAGGGGGGGGGGGGGCGGGGGAACCAACTTTGATGCTCCTGGGAAAACTTCTGATATTTCCAATTGTTAGTGTCGTCCTCCCAGCCTTTTGTCATCACTTAGCTGCTGTGGTGAAGTATAGCCATAAAGGGCTGGGGGTTTTTGGAAAATAAATGCATGTTGATTGACAGGGGCACGCTAACATAATAAATGAAAATAAGATTTTGTAGTTTTGAGGGGGAGGTTGTCAGTACATTATTTACTTTCAGCTGCTCAAAGTGAGGCGGATGTAGCGCTGTGCTTCTCAAAGCACTGGCCGTGTTTCGGGCAGTACTAAGCTGCCTTTCGCTGAACACGTAGTTTGTGTTTTGGATGCTGTTCGAACAGGGCCTGCTCTTTCCCCAGGGCAGAGAGCGCGCGGAATGAATTGTTGTGGCACTGTACAAATGCAGGATGCTCCTAGAAATCACGCGGTTTAGAACAAAAGTGCCCGGTGCTGGCTTGCATTAAAGGCAAAGAATTCGTGCTTCCTTTGCTGCTGCCACTGCGGGACTGCAGCTTTAGGGACCTGATGAAGCCTAACATCTCCCTATAGGGTCCCTTCCCTGGTGCTGGTGTCTGGTAACTTCAGGTCTGAACATCTAACTGTAGCGTGGTGCTTGAGCATTCATTTCCCTCTGTGTTTCTCTGTAGCAGATTTCTGAATTCTTCTCCTTCAGTTAATGCTCATTATCTTTGAATTTTCTCTGAAGCAAATTGCCTTTTCCCATTCTCTTTCATTGCTTCCAGTGCACCTTCAAAGGAATGAAGTGCAAATTTGATGGAGAGGCAGATTTGCATGCTCTGTTTGCTTCCTTTATTTTCATTTACCAGCTGGTGAGGAGGAAGAAGCTGGTGTTTTCCAGGCGGCCTTTCCTATCGGTTCTGTGGAGTCGGGAAGTCTGCAGCTCCAGCAATAGACAAAGTATTGGTGTGCAGTGCTAATAATTTTCTTTGCTGGCCCTGATGTGGTTTGAATGTTATTGAGTGGTAATTGAGCACATGTGGTACCGGTGCGCAGACGGTGGTTTTGCAGTTTAGGATACCCTGAGCACTGACTTAACACGCAGTGCTTAATATTCTGGAGCTGCATTTCAGAAAAGGGATAAGGTTCAGTCTGTAACGAATGTCCTTCCTGGTGCACTTCAGTCACGAGCTCGTGGAGGTGAGTGGAAATCCCCAGACGGTCTGTAAGGCTTGGTTTGGCTCTCGTGTTGATTAGGGGTTCCTTAGCTTAAGAGGCATTAAGATAGCAACTGAAAAGCTGGAATGCAAGGTATGAGGGTGTGGGATGTGTGTGCAAGCTCTCCGGTACCAGTGTCAGCTCTCTGAGGCTGCTTCTTTCTCATCTACTTCAAAGTCCTAGCCTCTGCAGATTTCGGGAGGCCAGATAAAAGCACAGAAGAGAGTGGCTGAGCTGAAATGCAGGAATTCCATGTTGTATGTCTTTTTTTTTTTTTTTTTTAACTCTTCCTGGTCTGGGTTTTAAAACAAATTTTACTAATAACTTTCTATTTACAATAAGAAATGTTTTCCTTGGCACCTGGAGGCATATGACCGTGATGTTGTTGTGAGATTAAAGGCTTTTCTTTTTTTTTTCCTACACTGTAGGGTTATTTGATTTTTTTAAAACAAAACCACCTTCTGTTCTAAATTACCTGTGCCTCTCAAGAACTGGTTTGTAAAAGAAATCTCTTTGTTTCTGCAGGTGGTACAAGCTTCGCTCCAAACCAGGGAAAAAGGAAAAGGAGAGAGGTGAGATTGAAGTGGATATCCAGTTTATGAGGAGCAACATGACAGCCAGTATGTTTGATCTGTCCATGAAAGACAAGTCTCGCTCTCCCTTTGGCAAGCTCAAAGACAAGCTCAAGGGGAAGAGGAGCAGCGGCCTTTCTGACACGGCATCGGCAATCATTCCCAGCACAACTCACTCCCCCGTTGACAGTGAAGATGAGTCCGTTGAGAAGGAAAAGAAGAAATCAAAGTTCAAAACCCTGTTTTCCAAACCTGGCCTGCAGAAGACCTCCCTCTCCCAGTCCATGTCAGTCCTTCCGACACAGCAGCCCGTCACCGAGAGGGTTCGGCTTCGGCCCAGCGACTTCCAGTCGCAATGGGACGATGAGGAGTCTGAGACCTCTCCAACCTCAGAAAGTGAGTATTGCCACTCACTGCACTGATGAAGCACAAAGCCTTTCTCAAAGGTTTGCTTGCACTTTTCACGCTTTTTAGAGTACTAGTTAAATTCTTCTTACTGAATGAATCCAGAGAAAGTCACTTGTGTCCACGGTGGCGGGTATGCGTGTAGGATGTTAGACACTCACAGCTAAGCTTACCTTGGGATAGCATAGAAACTGTGCACAAGCAATGTCTGCGCGAGTTGGCGGTACAGCTTCACAGTAGGTGATCTGTGGTGGTTTTAGGTCATTGAATGGCGCGTGCGATCCGGTCTGCTGAGGGCTGGCAGTGGTAGGGGACCCAGAAGCTTTAGATGTGACTGGTATAGTCATGCTTGCAGTGTATCTGTTGCTGCAATCCATTAATGACCGTGAAGCACTGAGGTTGTCAGTAGGGAGTGTCAGAGGAAAGGATGTTCTTGCATCTGGAATTTCTCCCTGTTTGTTTTTTCCAGAAGCCTTTGGAAATGCCGTGGAAGAGAAGTCCTCTCCTTCTCCTGTATTTAAATCTCGTAAAACAGCAACTTTGGACAGCAGGCAACTAAACCAAGTAACCACTAACCACACCAAGAAAGAAGGGCTCTCTTTATTCAGTGGCCTTAAATCCAAAACCGATCCCATTTCCAAGTCTAGTCTGTGTATCAATGGCAGTCATGTTTATATGGAAGAGAGCGTAAAGAAGGACAACACTCCAGCCTCTTCCCCCTCTCCTCACAACTTCAGGAGAAAGCAGCTCTTTGCTTCAGAAGAGAACCTGTCTTCTGGATCTACTAAAGGACCTGAAGAGATGGGAAGAACATCTCCTAGTCATGCTTTCTCTGGGTCTGCATCTCTGGAGACCTTTAAATCTATGACTTTGCCATCATACAAATTGCTTAGCAGTGAAGAATACCTGGAAACCAGTGTTCCTCCGAGTGTCGAGGTTATTAAAGAGACCAAAAAACCAGACCACAAAAAGTCTGCCTTGCTGTCTCTGGTCACTGGGAAGAAGGAAGCAGTGAAGACCAGTGATGCTGAGAATGTTCCTGACAGGACCCCGCAGGATGAAGAAAACAAAGTTCCAGAAGAGAAGAGTGAACAAGAGGCTAAACGTCTTGAACTTCCAGCAAATTTAAGCAGAGGGAATCCTTCAGAAGACAGTCACCGCGCAGAAGGCATCTTTGCAAATAAGCAGCCGCTCAACCCTTTTGAGGAAGAACGGAAACCTGAAAAAGCTACTGCACCGGCGAAGACCAAAGCTGTCAAGCCCAGGTCAGTCACGTTTGCTTCAGAGGCTGACATAAATAGCGATGTGCAGCGGTGGTGGCCGGCTTTAACTAGGCTGCTTCCTGCCCCAGAGCAGCGCTTCTCAACTTGGCATCCTGTGTGAGGCAGAAGTGCGTTGCTGTGCAGGGTACCTGGTGGTTTTAAGCTGGCCATTGGGTGCTTTGATAACAAATAATAACTCCGAGTTCTTTCTCGGTATGAAAAAGAGATTGATATAGGGATGTTCCTTATAATTGATGCCGAAATAGTGGTTCTCTGAGTGCAGGCATCTTTGCAGGTACTGTAGGGGTGACTTTTCTTGCTGGATCTCTTGCAAAAACTAACTTCTTATCTGAGCTGTGCGACTTGAATGTACCCAGGGTCTGAAATACCAGTTCTAACATCTCTACTTTTCTCTTCTGTATTTGGCTGTGGTCTTCAAAAGTGGGAATCTTGGAGCCCTTCTGCTTTTGGCGTTGTTCACAGCAACATGAAGGACATTTGTGTGAATTTGTACACAAGGCTTTTTTGGAAATTCTGCTCCTTTATCCTTCGTATATATATATAAAATGTGTCTGGTTTTATATATATATATATGGGTATGTCCTACTAATAAGGCTACGTTTTGCATCTCTAACTCCTTGTTTTCAGTGCTTCTCATGTTTAAACGTCTTGCATATGAAGTGTCTTACCTACTAATAAAATTGCTTGGGGTGCAAAAGATGAGATAGTGCTTAAGCAGCTACTGCAGTAACGTCTGCAAACTCTACAGCAGAAGTGTTCTGACATAAATTGAGTGCTTTGTAAAGACGCCTTTAAGTACATAAAGCCTATCAAATAGGCTCTGAGGTCTCTTGGAAGTATAATTCAACTCCATTGTTAGGAGTTGATGGAGTCTGGTGCTAAAGCTTGTCTGTTCCTGCCTCGTATTGCATCCGCAAGTGACATGCGAGTTTTTTGTCCCTTTTTGCAGACTGGGCGTGTCTTCAGAGGAGGAAACCAAAGCCACGCTTCCTACTCTTGCACCTGATTCCCTTCCTGCTTTTCTTTCTGTACACCGTATCAGTAGTGACAATAATCCTTTTATTTCTAAAATGGGACAAAATGTCCAAGTGCCAGACTCTGAAAACATTACTAGTTCTCCTGCATCTCTTATTTCTCCTCCTCCTTTTGCTGCAGAGCTTTTGAATGGCAAGAACCCCTTTACTCCCGAGCGGGGCAGGGCATCCACAGCCCTGGATCCCAAAGGCACTGCCCGTTTCCCTTCGTCCCATCATCTTGCAGCCTCTGTTCCCAAAATGCCTCTTCCTGGGCAGGTCTCTGGTAGCGGTAATAATCCTTTTGCTTCTGAATGGGGGCAGAGCTCATGGGGCCACGGTCCTGAAAGCTCTGATACGTGGGCTTCCTGGGGTCTCTCTCACCCACCTGCATCTTCTCTCCCCTCTGATTGTCATTTTAATGACAATAATCCCTTTGCATCCAAGCTTGGGTGGGAAGCAGATGCACCAGGTTTCAAAGCTGTTGCTAGTTCTTCCCCTTTCTGCCTTCCATGTGATGAAGACTGTTCCTCAGCAGAACACCCTGCTGAGCTGAAACACTCTGGTTGCGATGCTTCAGGGAGCTCTTCAGATGTGGCTTTAACTAGTAATGTTAAAGCTATATCAAACCCCCTCGGCACTCTTTCTGACAACCCTGGTGTGGCTCCAAAGAAGCAGTGTGATTCTCCCCAGCTTCAGGTTGAGACTTCTTTGAAAAGAAGTAGGCTAGACCACAGGAAATCGGTGTCCTTTCTCCTTGATGGATCGGAGGGTCTTACTTCAGGTGATGAGGATTTGGGTGGGCAGGAATATGAAAAGCAGCACTCTGATTTTGGTGAAATGTTACTTATGGGTTCAGATGCAACAGGAGAGCATGCAGGGTTTACTCGTGAACTGGAAGCAGGGTGCTGCCCATCGTCAAAACTCTCTAGTGACAGCATAGGTCCCATCCGAAAGAGCGAGTCTGCTGTTCCGGGTGGTGCGGAACTAGGCGGTGTAAATACTGAACCCTGCGCAAAGGATGACAAAGGCTTTGCATCTCTCTCAAAACATAGTACTAGCCTCTTGCCAGGGATCGGTGCTGAACAGCCACCTTCCCCTGAGAGTGAGCTGGAAGAGAAGCAAGAGGTCTTTGGTGAAAAGAGATGGGAAGAATGTGTACCCACATTAGAGCCCCAAGCAACTCCACTTGATAAAAATGACTCATTTTCTCAAGTAGGACCTGCCAAACCAACCTTGGGAGCTTGCACGCAGTCCCCTCAGGAAGCCAATGTAGGGAGGGCTGGCAGTGAGGGGTTAGTCACTCCAAAGCCAGCACCACGGCCGTCTTTAACACTGAAAAAGTGCCCACTGGTTTCTCAGGCTGATGAGTTAAGTGGTGATGTGCCTTCTTCAGGCAATAGTGTAAAATCTGCACCTGGGCTCCCATTACCTAATGAGAAAGCCTCAGATGCTTGTGGGTGCCTCCCCCAAAGTGGCTCATTAGAGACTATCACTCTACCAGTGATGCTCAGAGATGACAGCAATAATAGGCATTTAAAAAATGAAGGTGATGACGATTTATTTGACTGTCTTACAAATCTAAAGTCTGCCATTCCTGTCACCGGAGACCGTGGTTTGAAACTGGCCGCTCTTCCAGTTATTCCGGAGGGAGGTTCCGATGATGAGCTGCTGGGTGACTGTCAGGAGAACCGTGGTGTCACTGCAGGTGATAAAAATGTTTCACAGACTGGAAAGCAGTCCCTAGATTCGATGCCTTTGCATGAAGAACTGAAAGAGCACTCCGATAGCTCTGCTGCAGCCCAAGTAACCCCGGCTGCTCTGGGAGGAGGAGGAGGAAGTGCTCCTGGTACTTGTAAGCCAAGCAAATCGCCCATGCTGCCTGCCAGAGTAGATGTTCACAGTGTCAATAACCAGGTAGCTGACTCAGGCTTAGGTACGATGTCTCATTCCAGGGAGTGTAATAGTAATTTTGAGAAACAAGAGCTGAAAATAAGTGCAGGTGTTGAGGAGCGTGCAGAGTGTGACTTCTTTGAGCCTTCTGTTTCCTCTTCCTCCCTGTCAAGTCCTTCCCAGCCCTACTCTTCCTCTCATTCCCTTCTCTCTGATGCCCCAAGTCGTAGAGCAGAGTCTCCGAAAAAGCCAACAGCCGAGGGCTTCGCAGATAAAGCAGGAAATTCTGGCAAGAAGAAGCTTCTTCAGGCATGGGTTTCACCCTCTGAAACATATCCTAACCAAACTCAGCAGAGTGGTGAAACCGTGTCTCCTAAGCACAGGTGAGAGAATATGGGAAATACACAGAAAGTACCTCAGTGCTGATGTGAGCCTTGCTTTTTTCTTCCTGTGAGCGCAGATCTGTCTCTCCAGCTGCAGAAATGTACTGCACTTTGCAGTGATGTGGCATCGTACAGCCTTAATCCGGCCCGTGGATTTGTTGGGGCCTGAGTCCTGTCACGCCAGCGTAGGATCATTGCTGGCACCAGATAAATCTGTATGGCTACTAAGGATGCCCAGAGCACTCGAGGGGACCTGATATTCATAACAATGCTACCTCTTGGGAAAACTGTTAGGGAAACGGTAGCAGTTTAGGAAATAGGGTCGTTTCATCAGATTGGGGAAATGGACTACAATTCATCCATTTTTCAGAAATGGGAGTGTCATGGTTTAACCCCAGCCAGCAACTAAGCACCACACAGCTGCTCGCTCACTCCCTCCCCTCCCCCCCCTCCCCCCAGTGGGATGGGGGAGAAAATGGGGAAAAGAAGTAAAACTCGTGGGTTGAGAGAAGAACGGTTTAATAGAACAGAAAAGAAGAAACTAATAATGATAACACTAATAAAATGACAACAGTAATAGTAAAAGGATTGGAACGTACAAATGATGCACAGTGCAATTGCTCACCACCCGCCGATCAACGCCCAGTTAGTCCCCAAGTGGTGATCCGCCTGGCCCCACTCCCCCCAGTTTATACACTAGATATGACGTCCCATGGTATGGAATACCCCGTTGGCCAGTTTGGGTCAGGTGCCCTGGCTCTGTCCTGTGCCAACTTCTTGTGCCCCTCCAGCTTTCTCTCTGGCTGGGCATGAGAAGCTGAAAAATCCTTGACTTTAGACTAAACATTATTTAGCAACAACTGAAAACATCAGTGTTATCAACATTCTTCTCATACTGAACTCAAAACATAGCACTGTACCAGCTACTAGGAAGGCAGTTAACTCTATCCCAGCTGAAACCAGGACAGGGAGAATGGTCACAGGAAGCCTGATAAACTGGGATGCTTCCTTTCCTGGCCAAACTGGGCTCCTGAGCCTTGAAGTGAATTGCAGCAAGCGATGCAGCTAAAGCCTCTCTCTCCCAAGAATGTGTGGCTGCTTTCCAGAGCTGTCTGCAGCTCCTCCTGCCTGCTGGGCTACTGTTGTCCGTGGAACAGTGCCACTGACCTGTCAGCCCTCAGTACTTTATCTGCAGAACTCCATCTAGGGTCTAGGACGCTTCTGGGCTGGCATTTGCTGAGATACAAGTAAAATTTTCTTCCTGTATTAAAATTGGCAATATAAATCCTGCTCGAGCAGATAAAGATAGCACTTTTTGGCAGGTTATGGCAAAAGTTCAGATTGGAAAAAGTGTAATACATGTTTGTCCCAGGATAGAAGTAGTGTTTGATGTGTTGCAAGAACCACAAATGTGTTCTCATTAGGAAAGTCAGGCTCAAATACTAGTGTGTGAGAGATCAGAGTAACTGCTGCTGTGTACTGCCTTCTCTGCTTTTCTTTTGTGACATACCGTTCAGGTTGTATTTCCCTTGTTACTGCTTTACTTTCAATGCCTTAAGTCAATAAAGATAGTAGAAAGGGAGCTGGAGTATACTTACAAAAAGCCTATAGCTTGGACAGAAATGCCTTGTCTTCCTAAAGCTGAACCTCTTATCTCTCTGGAGGTAGAGAAGGGTAGGAATTTTCCCCAATTTCTTGCTATATTTGCTTTTAGTCTGAAGATCTGTGTAGTGCTGGTGTTGTATGTACTGCCTAAGTAACGAGCCTGTTTTAATGTTACAGACTCCATCCTGTGAAGCCAATGAATGCCACAGCAAACAAGTCTCAAAGTAAAAACCTGAATGTCATCAGCACTATGAATGAAAAGCTGCTCGAGATGAATGTGAAGGTATGGACGAAAGTGGCACTTTAAACCAAAGCTTAAGCAGTAAATTGAACAGAGTTTGTGTATTCGGGGATAGTTTGCCTAGGCTTATATCTCACATATCCTGAGCAGAAAAAGAACAGTGGTTATTAGACAGCGGGAGATATGAACTTTCCTTTTCCTTTTGTCAGTCCCCAAAGGTGGGGACAGTCTTTAAATATTCTTTTTCTTGCACACTCATCTGTAGTAGAATTGGTGCCTCTTGTTTGTGGAGGGGTTCTCAGTGGAAAGGAGTGCGGGCTGCTGTCTGACTCCCCAGTGGTGAGCGGGATGTGTGTGAGCCATGACGTGGCTGTGACAGGAGCGACGGGTGACTCATGGATGGTGCTACCCCTGGAAGATAGTCCTGTCGGTGATGTGTGGGAGCTGCGTAACTTGGGTCTGCACAGAAGACTGGACAAATTAGTCACTGTTTATTGTCAGATGGGATTAGTCCCCAAAACTCATTTTCACCCTGAAATAAGCATGTGGTTCTTAAAGCTGAGAAGGTGGGAGAAGGAACCTCGGGGTGGCTGTTGCCTTGTAATACATTGCATTAATACCCTGTGCAGATTGAGAGACTAGGTGCCTGCCATTAAAGCACGGATGCTTCCTAAGAGTGTAGCTGTGCAGCTTTCATAATCACTCAGATTTAAAGGAGCTTTTTGCATAATCTTGGCCTCAAAAGAGACCTCTAGGCTTGAGGCATAACTTAAAAGTCATGCTGATTGGAATAGCTAGAAGCGTCTCTGGGTCAGCAGAGAAAAATCCTGGGTACTGTTATTGTCTCTAAGGGTTTTTTGGGGAAAATGAAAAGTTAGTACCAAAATAACTGTAGTGCCTCCTTCTGGTGTAAGTGGAAAAGAAGAAAATGTGAGTTAAATGATTCAAACTGACATGTTGCTATTTTGAATGAGTTGAAAACTTGTAATTAGTATTCTGGTGTGGTGCTCTGATTCCACATAAGAAATTATGCTTGATGTAGTCACGTGAGCTTGTTGTATGCATACTGCCTTCGAAAGAAAATCCTGGGCTGGCATTCTAGTTTAGGGTCTGAGAAGGTAGCTGGAGGAATTGGCAGAAGCTGCTAAGTACCTGTCAAGTTTGCTTAAGGGTAAAAAGCAGACTTTTCAGAGGAGCTGTGTTGTGATGTGTTTTCACAGTGATAAGGACAATAAGAGGGAAATGCCAAAGGTGGGTGGGTGTTTCTTGCTGTTTAACCTGAATTTGGCTTTCGTAGTCTTTGGTATGTTTTAAACAATAGCTATACCAGTGCTCATCTATAAATGATGGTAGTTGATGGTGTGCGGCTGTAATTTCTACACATCTTTGCTAAGCTGGGTGGGCTGCTGCCTGGAGTCAACATGACATTCTTTCAGCATAAATTGGAGAAGAGTTGAATTACAGAACTGAGATTATGGAAAGATTTTTATGCTAAAACCGATGGCCTGGTTACCATCCATAATGTCTGTCTTGCTCTGAGCCTGCCTTCTGTTTGGGAGAAGACTGCTTAAGCTCTGTAAAGTGTGTCACTGTGCCATAAGTAGCATGCACTTACTCCAGGACAGTTAATCTTTTTTTCTCCAAATACTTCCAAAAAGCTATTCTGCATTCTGGAAGTGCATGGATAGATAGTGTTTTGTATGAATCTTTCCAGGCTAGATTTGTTAATAGCCCAAAAGGTGCTTTGTAGCAGAAGGCTTGCCTGGCCTGCCAGCCTCTCCCTGTCATCGTTAATGCCTTGGCCATTGCGCAGCTTGGCTCTGAGCAGCCTGCTCTTCTTGATCCTAAAGTGCTAATGACTGACATTCCAAACTGTCGTTTGGATGGAACTTATTTTTAAAAAGATAAGAAGCACAGTAATACTTTTGAAGAGCAGCTGTGGTTTTGCAGATGCTGTGTGTAAAGTTGTTCATTGGTATTTTAAATCCCCCCAGCCAGCTACCAGATAGCGTTCTGTTGCTATTTTGAAATGCCTGTGTGTCTGTACTGACCCTGCCTTTCTTCTCTCTTGAAGAAATATGATCCTTCAGATCCTGCGTATGCTTATGCTCAGCTAACACACGATGAGCTGATCCAGCTGGTCTTGAAACAGAAGGATACAATTACCAAGAAAGATGTCCAGGTGCGTGAGCTTGAAGACTACATCGATAACTTGCTTGTCAGAGTCATGGAAGAAACCCCAAACATTCTTCGTGTTTCAGCGTCTGGAAACAAAAAAGCTGGAAAGATGTAAAAGCTCTCGGGACATTGGTTGAACAAAGGACTGAATTCCTGCCAGTGGAGTTTGATTAATAAGGAGATGATGTGAAGTAGGTGGTACCAGTTGTGCTGCCCACAGAAAATGACCTCTTTCCTGTTTCTGCCTTGAGCAACTCTCAGTTTGATTAGTAGTTACATCAGGTCTTGTATATGGAGTCCAGAAGTGGAGTCAACTTATCATATTTATTTTTTGGTTTCTTTCCATTATTTGGGAAGATTTGTTCAGGCATCTAATCCAAAGGCTGATTGCGATAGGAGGGATGAAGGGTTTTTGATGTGTTTTGCTTGCCAGCAAGGCACTGATAATCCTTTATGAAGATTTTTTTTTTTAATGGTTTTGTTTCATAGCACCTTTGATAGATCAATTACTCTTCTTTCCATATCTTAAGTTTTAGTGCAATATAAAATCTTGTACAGTAGAGCTTGAGGATTTGATTGTTTTAAAAAAAAAAAAAAATACACTGGAAAAGTCCAAAGATGTGAGCTTCAGTCCAGGGCTGTGTGGGCTGTATTTTAAAAGTAATGAATGCCCTAAAAGTTGAATGCAAGTTAAACCTTAGATTGGAAAGGAAGAAGCAAAGCTTAGTTAATCTCATAAAGTACATATTGTTTCAAAGCAGTTCTCCAAGGGGAAGATTTACATGGTTTTTTTGGTATAGGGAACACTGAGATGTCATGGTACGTTTGTCTACCATAGGAATGGTAGTAATGAATTTGGGCCGAAGGTGCATTTTAAATCAGAAGCTGTTCTCTTGCAGATTTCAAATTCCTGATTTGAAGGTCATTCAAACGAGGGAGGCAAAGGTACACCTGGTTTCTGTTCTGTAGTCTTAAATAGGTGTGGATTTCACGGCACATGTGCGTGGCCCCCGTCTCTTGCTGTATGGGAGTTCTGTGACAATTTTTCTTTTAGACCATTGTAGTTTATTAAATGTAAATACATTGGATTTTGGAGCCGGGGCTTACCTTGGAACAATCTTAAAAGGTGATCAGTCTTACGCTTTCTTTTATGCATTCCTTATACAGCCAAGAGAGGAACCAAATCGCCCTCTCCTGGGGATGGGAGCAGTCACAACACTAGTGCTCAAATCTGATTTGGTTTTCTTTGTGACTTGCTGCTCAGAATGGAATGAAAGTTTTATGTAGCTGAGAAAGAGTGCTGCTTTTGCTAGACAATCAATACCTCTCGGTCTGCTTCCTTAATGTGTGGCTGCTTTGCAGCTTGATAGAGACAGGTATGTTCTCCTCCCCATCTCATGGGACAGCAAATAATAGCATAGTGCTATCAAGCAGCCACCATAACAGGCTTCCTCCACTGAAAAACTAAATGTGGCTTTTTTTTTGCGGAGCTCTTGTCGAAGATCAAAACAATCAGATGCCTCTTTGCATCTCTGGGATTTATCAGGGTTGCAAGTATCCATAAAAGGCTTAGAAGAAAGTTGAAATACCGAAAGAGTTGGCAGCAGAGGACCAAAGCAAGCACTCCTGCCTTCGGAGGTTGAAGGATTCTGTTGGGTCACTCCTGGCTTAGCTTGAAAGGGGTGAGTTTCTAACTCAATTTTTCTACAGCAAAGCACTTTACTGAGGGACTAGACCAGCTAGATTGACTATCAACCTGTTAGTAGTCTGCTTACTATTTTCATAAAAACACTGAAAACTACTGGAGACTTCTCAAATACTGTATTTTTGTAGTGAAGAGTAGTTTAATATATTTGCCTAGAGATGTATACATTTATTGGAAAATTTTAAAAATGCTGTTAATTACATTTTTATTACTGTAAACTGACTACCAAAGTCTGGAGCTTTTCTGACAGAGCTATCCTTCATGGGAACCTTGAGTTGAAACAAGCCTTAAGCATTAAGAGTCTTCTAAGACTTCAGGTACTTTTTTCTAATTTTATTTTTATTTGAGCAGATGTCTTCAGTGAAGGGGTTATTTCTTTCCTACTGTACCCTCTTCTGTGAATGAAGGGTCTGAAACACAGAAGGTTCTAGCGGCATCTTCAGCTCTTGGCTGGTGGTTTTAATTTTGAGTGGTACTGTTTGGCCTTACTGAAAACTGCTGCTGCTTCTCCTGCCTTGAAATAGTGAGGAAGATGAAGGATTTATTTGTTTGTTTCTTGTGCCTCAGTGGATCTCTGGAAGGAAGCGATTGCCTATACCTCACTAGTAAACTTGTCTTCTAGACTTTATTCCACAGCTTTCTGATGTTCTAGGTCAGAGAGTCAGAAAAACCGGTTGTGCCTTTGAACAGTGACTTAATGGTTCAAAAAATCAAAAATGGTATTATCGGTAGTCATAACTGGACAGATGGGAAGTAAGACTGGACTCTTGCTTTTTGCTGGCCTCATTGTAAAACAATATAGGTACTACTGAGTGGCTGGCTGCTGAAGGTGCCACGGTGCTGTGTGCGATGCTTTTGGAGTATGGATTTTAAGAAATTTGGATCACGTGCGTTCCTGTTGGCAAGAAAGTGCCTCTTGACGTTACATGCACAGAAACAAAGCAGTGATATGTGCTCTTAATGGTCTCCTTAGACATGAAGCCTTAAAACTTGTAATGTCCTCTCCTGGCAGCCTTTTTTGCCAGTTACAGCCGTGTCCGTTGAGGTGGACCCCGAGTTGTGTCTGCTTTTGCTGCTGGGCTTGTTTTCTCCAGTGGTTGCAGGTGTCGAGCCTCCTGCCAGAGCAAGACGGGCGCTGCTGCAGGGTCACAGTCCGGCACCAGCCACGCTTCAACTTCTGTGGCTGTGAAAGCATCGCACAAACCTCGTACCTCAGTCTTTTATTGGCAATACTAGTTAAAGCCTTTCTTTGGTGTAAGGGGACTGGCATTTTATGTCCAGCAAGGTGCTTCACCCTGACTTTAAGGGCCTTAAGAATCAAATGTATTGTTTTATTATTGAAGGATCTGAATGTGTTTTTCCCTGTTTATACTGTCTGCTTTTAGCCTGGGTACCTATTTGTTTTTAAATGCCTTTTGGTTTCATGGAACACTAAAATAAAAATACCTTAAATCCAGTGTTCTGATCACTTTGTCTTTTTTTCTGAAAGAGCAGTTGCAAAAGGGCCTCTTCCCTCCTCGTGACCACCTCTGCTGCCCGAAACTCCTCATCCTCAAGGTATTTTTGGGCTAGTTCCATCCCTGCGAGCTACCCGTGCAGGAAGTTCATGGTAAACACCTCCCAGGGTGGGGAAACCTGATGGACGAGCTCATCCGCATCACAAGAATCGAGAGTTTCTGTGAAGCAAAAAAGAAAAATACTTGCGAAAGGTTCTTGGGCCGGGAGCCAGTTCAGCCACCCCAGTCACAGCACCGGTGTCCCGCCTCCCCCGCCCCCTAATTGTAATGGCCCCCTAATTGTAATGGCCCTCCAGTTGTGGGCGGCAGATGAGAAGAGAGGAAATCAGCCTCCCGCTGTCTCGGGGCCATTTAACCCGAAACCCATCTGCGCCACGGGAGCCCCGAGTGCTGTTATCGCCCTCATCCTCCTCTGGTGATGAAAGGCGGGTGGGTGGGGGGCACCCAGACCCCCCCCAGCCCATCGGGGGAGGTCAGCTGCGGCTGATGAGCCTCCCGAGGGGAAGTTTTTTACGATTTCACGCTTCCCCGCTGAGCGACGGAGCGCGTTGTCCCCTCGCTCCCCCTCCGCGGCTGACCGGGGGCCGGTGGGTCTGCCCGGGGCGGAACTCACGGCACCCGGAACGCGGTGTACGGGGGGTGGAGGGGAGCGGCGCCTCGACCGGGCGGGCTGGGACGGACCGCAGGCTGCGTCGCTATTGGTGGGCGGCGGTGCGCCCGCCTCAGCGCTCCCCCCCGCCTCAGCGCTCCCCCTCAGCGGCGGTAATGGCGGCCCGGGGCTGTTGCCCCAGCTGCGGTTCGGCGGCGTTGGTGGAGGACGCGCACTACGCGCAGCAGCAGCTGGTTTGCGCCGCCTGCGGCTGCGTCCTCGTCGAGGGGCTCCTCACCACCACCTACACGGAGGAGGAGCACCTGCGAGGTGCGACCGGGCCCGGTGGGGTTCAGCCCCCCTGGGGGGGGGGTGGTCACCGACAGGCAGGGCGGGTCGCGGGGCGAGCGTCCCGGCAGCGTTTGTATTCGGTCTGGTGCAAAACCGTGGGTGAAAAGCTTGTTTTGAGCGTACTGAGTCGGTTTGAGCAACGAAGCAGTCCCCCAAGCAGCCATTTTAGTCAGCCCCGGGGCCGTTGTCCTTCCACACCCTGCACGGCTTGTGGGTGTCTCGGTGTCAGAAAGGCCTCAGGGTGGGGGGCGAGGCTGGGTGCTGCCAGGATTAGACCAGCTGCTTTCCCCCCTCTCTCTCTAAGCAAAAGACCACCATGTTTTTTCCATTATAGGGTCAGACCGACAGCACTTCTCTGCCAGGTTTTAGGCTTGGAACCGGTGGTGTGCTGCTCTTTGGCCTTTAAATCTCTTACAAGTGTAGTGGAGTAGCCCCGAGGCCGTTTGTTGGTTCTGTTTGTGGAGAAGCAACGGCTTGAAGGGATCCTGCTCCTCGCTATTACTTAACCTGTGCTGCCAGCCCTTGTTTAGTGGCCTCAAAGATCTGTCAATTCTGATAATTGAAATCCAGTACCATGGGCATCTGGTTGCCCAAAATCTAAATGACACAGTCCCCCAGAGTCGCTGCAAGACTATCTGACCTAACACTGACTGTTTTTCAGAGGTGACGTATTCCCAGAGCACTGGCCAGAAAGAGCAGCTGAGCCGCTGCCTGCAGCGAGGTAAGAGCATGCCGTTCTGTTTCCTTCACACACCGATTCCCTCTTGCTGATACTCAAGTTTGTTTAACATGTTTCTAATGCTCTCTAAAATGGTAAAAGCTTTCAGAACTGGAAGTAAAGCATGAAGGAGGCAGTTAGTTCTGCATCCAGCCGGTGCTTGCCTTCAGCAAACTGCCTCACCTGCACTAAGGGACTTGGGAGATATTTTCACATTGTCTGCAGGGCTGCAGAAACTGGGCTGCTCTTGTGCCTCTGCCCGGGACTGGATGAATGCTGGCTGCACTGGAATATTGAGGAGAGGCGTGTATCAGAAGCTGCTTGAGCTGATTCTTAAGGGTGGTGTCTTCTCACAGGGATCAGGCGGGTCCGGGATCTCTGTAAAGTCCTCCAGCTCCCGACAGTGTTTGAGGAGACGGCGGTGTCGTACTTCCAGAGAGCTCTCCAGCACACCTCCTTCCACCTGGTCAGTCTGGAGAAGAAGGAGCTGCTGGGGGGCTGCTGCGTCTTCGTGACTTGCCGACAGCACAACTGGCCCCTGACAATGGGGACGATCTGCTCCCTCCTTTACGCAAAGCAGGAGCTCTTTGCCAGCGTCTACCTGAGCCTTCAGAAAGAGCTCGGGCTCTCTGTGCCAGCCCTGAGCCTGGCGGATCTGGTGAAGACGCACCTGAACAGGTAACGGGGCCCCTTTCAGCCATTGCAGAGTCCTGTGTTTGATGCTGGTGGGTGGAAAACCTTCTGAAACTCAGCCGTGGCCAGGGCAGAAGTCCACAAGCACAGACAGTGTGACCTGTGCTTTTTACACAGCCATGTTGTTGCTGAGTGCTCTAAGGCAAAACCAGATCATCTGGAAAAGTATTCCCTTGGATGGTTCGCAGCCCTGTGTGCTAAGGGGGGGCATACCTACCAGGAGCCTGTTAGGCTGGGTGGCAGTAATGGTGCAGCAGCATCTAAAACTCGTGATCTGGGAGTGCGCTCTGTTGTCCCTTGAATGACAAACTTCATCGGGTTCTTGCTCCAGCCAGCGATCGTAGTACACAACAGAGTAGCCTGGAGGCGGATGTCAGCAGAACTGGTGTTTGCTGATGCGCTGGGGGAACGGCCCACGTGTGTGCTGGGGATTTTACAGAATTGCGATGGCTTTTTTGCCTCCCTCGTCACAATCTGGGCTATGATTCTTCTCTTCCTGCCCCTTTCTCCTCAGTTTGGAGACGGCAGTGAGGCACTTAGCTAGGTAACATAAGCAGAAGCCCAGCGCAGGAGCAGGGTGTGTTTGTCCTAAAGGACCTTACTGCAGCCAGCTGCCACATCAAGCTGGATTACTGAGGCGTCGTGTGGTGAGGCTTCCCTGTGCCCTGGTGCTAACGATGGGCTCTTTGCTCTTTCAGTTTTCGGCTGTTCCAGCATGCGGCCGACATCCCTGCCCCATTTGTGGAGGACAAGGAGAAGATGGTCGCCCGAACGATGCAGATCGTGGAGCTAGCCAGTGAGACTTGGCTAGTCACCGGCCGTCACCCTGTTCCCATCGTCACAGCTGCAGCCTTCCTGTCGTGGCAGTCGCTGCAGCCTGCTGCCCGCCTCACCTGCACTTTTGCACGTTTCTGCAAGCTGGCGGGTGTTGATCTGCCACCGCCGGCGCACCTGAGGCTGAAGGAGCTTCTCGAGATCCTCCTGAGAATGGCCTCCAAGCTTGCTTGGCTCAAGGTGTTTAACATGGACAAGAAAACAGTGGTCAAGCACATCGGGGACCTGCTGCAACACAGAATTTTCCTGCTGAAAAATGCCTTCTGTCTGGAGGATGAGGAGGAGCAGTGTGCTGCGGCCCTGAGCAAGGGCTCCCCCGGCTCTCCTCCGGCAGCAGGAGGGGCAGCGCAGGAGAAGGGCTGTCCCTTGGAAGGGAAACGCCAGCGTGAGGGCAGCCCGAGGCCCTTGCTGCCGCCCTGCCTTATCAATCCGAGGAAGAGACTGCGGACGGCAGCCCTGAGTGCTTCGGACTCTGCCATCACTGGCGATGAGCCCATCTCTGACAGTGAAATTGAGCAGTACCTGCGAGGCCCGGAGGAGATCCGAGCCTTCAGGAAGGCCAAGGCCTGGCAGTGAAGATGGTCATCTCCAGTGGGGTCCAGAGGATGGTGCTGCCAGACACCGGGGCAGCAGGGACTGTGGGACCAAAAGCATGAAACCCATCAGTGACAGAGCCATCACAAGGTGCAGGGACAGTCGCCCAAGGGAGCAGGGCTGTAGGGAGGGAGTGGGCTGTGTCATCTTTCATGTTCTGGGCCAAAACGGGGCTTTTAATGGACTGATTGCTTTGGGTTGTGTTACGTTTCTGTTAGAAATGAGTAGAAGCGCAGGTGCCAGGACGAGTTTCTGGATTCTCTCTCATTGCAGCCTCTGGTAAAAGGTGTTTTGGTGCAGCCCAGTCCTGCAGGGCAGTGTCATGAGCAAGTCTAGTGAGCCCAGGGACTTACACTGGGAGTGATGCCCAGGGAAAGGTCTCCAGCACCTTCCTTGGCGCTGGTTTTCCATAGCTTTGCTCCGGCTTTTCTGGGCCAGTCTCACCTTGTGCTTCACCTTCTTCGGCAGAATGGGTTTGTGAGAGCCAAGGAGACACCTTAAGTTGCTGAGAGAAAACTACTCCATCCTTGGTTAAATAAGGGATGTGAAGCTGCTGGAAACTGCCAAAGGTGCAGCTTTGGATTGTGTGCATACAGTGCTGCTGGCTGTTCATGGCAGCATGCTGCTCACTCAATAAAACAGTGCCCTCTCCATGCCTGGTGACCTGTTGTATTTGAACACAAAGTCTGTGAGAAATAACAGTAGATCTTGGCAGATTGGCAAATCTTTAATATATTAAACAAAACATATCTGCTAGAAACATTCTATTTATATAAAAATGCAAAAAGACCCCTTTAAAGACATTTCTTTGGCATACTTTCCCCTCCCTCCCCCACATATATTGCAAGAAGCTCTCTGTTGATATGTCATTTGCTTGTAATGTAAACAGACAAAAAAAAAGTAATTAATAATACAAAGCTTTTTATATAATACTGTCACAGTGCAGCAAGCATATATAACAACTCGGCATCAGCAAGACCGTGTAGGCTGCAGTATCGACAATAAGGATTTAAATTGTATTAAATAACCAGGTGCAGTGAAATGTGGTTTAAGCTGTTGGTTGGGCAGAGAAGTCAAGGCAGGTGGGGAGCGGCAGAACTGCATTAAGCCCAGGCTGCCCCTGCCCTGCGGGGTGAGGGTTCCCCCAGGGTTTCTGCAGGTGAGACAAATCCACCACTAAGTGCCTTTTCCTCCACTGCCTGTGGCTTCCCCTCCCCGCCGGCCTCTGCCTGGTCCTGGAGACCCCTCGGGAGGTAGCTAAATAATTAAACTCATTTGCACACAGGAGGAAACTGAGGCAAGGGGAGGCTGGAAAGGGCAGAAGAGGCACCAGGCTCCCATCCCACCTCCTCTGCATCACTTTTACAGTTGGGGTTGGCGTCAGCCGGGCTCAGTGCCGGACGAGGGGTGAAATACAGCCCGGGTCCAGTGTGGGCAGGGGCAGGCAGCAGGTAGAGCTGTACCGTACCAGCACAGTGATGGGGTGCTCCTTGCCCGGCTGCAGGGTAAGCAACCTTCTCTTCTTTTAAGAAACCTTCAAGACCTGGCAGGGAACGGCTCCCAGAGCCTGCTGCTGTCTGCAGTGTGGCTTTTTTATATGCATGCTAGAAAAAAGAGGGGACTTGTTTTTAAATGGGGAAAAATAAGTGCTTATCCAAGTTCCAGCCCTTTGAACATATCCTGTTAACTGTCCAAGGAAGGTCCCTAATTAATTGGCATTGTTCTCCCACTCTCCCAGGAACGGCCCCTGCTCCCCGGCAGTTTCATCTTACACAAGTGCGAGGCCAGGAGCTGGGGGATTTCTCTGCCTTCCTAAGAGCAAACCCAAGTATTTTCTGAGCGTGCATCCCTGGGTTAAGGATGAGGGCCTGCTTTGGGTCTCTGCCCACAGCTGGGCTCTTTGGTGCTTTAGTGGAGAGGGTCAGTCTCGGCTCCGGCAGCAGCACGGCTCCGCCAGCCCACCCCATTGCATAGCTTATGCCTCTGAGGGCTTGGGAGCCTTTTCTGGCCGTGATTTTAGTGTCTGGCATTAGAACAGTGCAGACAATCGCCTCGCCTTGGAGCTGAGGCTCCTCTTACCTTGTGCTTGCTTTGCAATATAGCTTTTACTTTGGCAGCCGCGTAACCCACAGGGCTGAACGCTGGCATCTAACACATGTGGATAAAAACTTTTGCATGTAAAAACATTTCAGACGGAGAAGCTGCTCTCTGACTTGCTCAGAAGCAGCTTGCTCAGGCTGGGGTCACACAGGCATCGGTGCTATAGTGCCTGTACGTAAAGGGCACTTAGTGTGGTCCCCTCGGCGGGAATATTGCAGTCGTGGCACGAGCAGGCTATTGCCAAAGCGCCCGGGGGCATGCCCGCTCCCGGAGAACACTGGTTGGTAACGAGGCACTCACATCACTTACTTACTGATCTGTCTATACATATATACATTCAATAATATAGCTTTGAAAAATAGACATTTGTTTCCTCTGTATATTATAAAATAGCATTTAGGATCAGTCTTAAGTGACATGCAGGAGTGATTAAAGTACAGCTGCAATTCAGGCTGCTGAAGAGCAAGGATTGCCTTTCACATCGAGATCCCGGCGTTGCCGTGGGAAGCTTTGAGCCTCCACAGGGGACGGGTCGGGCTCGGCATCGCCTTCCACCCGGGGAGAGCCGGAGCCCCTGGCCATGCCGCCCGTCCCCACTAGTGCACATGGCGATTCCCGCAGCATCACCTCTTCGCAGATGCCCTGAGCGGCTCTGGCCGCGGCTCCCAGAGGAAAATGCTGCGGTGCTGCGGCCATCCGGTCCTTCCCCACCTTTACACGGTGGTTTCGCTCTTCCAGAGGCCGGTCTTCATCCCGGCCACGCTGTCGGTGCTGGCCAGGTTGATGTCGTATTTGCTGCCCTTGAAGCCGCCGTTATGGCTGGCCACGTTGAGTGGGTAGGACCGGCGCTTTGCCTCCTTCTCGGCGGCGCTGGCCTGCCGCAGGTTGTCCCTGCTGGCGCTCCTCCGGCGAGCCTCGGCAAAGTCTGGCGCCCGCCGACTGCCATCGCTGCCTTCCGAGTGGCTGGGCACCGTCTCCCCATCCTGGGGGGGCCGTGGCCCCACACGGCCACTGCTGACGGGGCTATTCCTGCCGCTGTGGTAGCTCTCGGAGTGGCTGTTGTGGATGCTCCCGCTCTCGCTGGAGGGATGCTCTGAGGAGGGGCCCCGCAGCATTTTCAAGCGGTGGTGCTTCCCGTCCCGGCAGGGTTTAGTTCTGCCCCGGTGATTCCTGCGGCCGTGGAGGTTGCTGGTGTGCCTGCTGGCACCGGTGATCTTGCCATCAGTGGGGTCCGGCTCCGGGCAGGCGGCCGGGCGGGTGTCCGCCTGGCTCTGGGCTACTTGCAGGTTGGTGAGCTTGCAGCGGCCCCCGGCCGAGCTGGCGCTGCTGGGCGAGGAGGAGGAGGAGGCAGCGGAGTGAGCTGCCTCTGGGTCGCAGCCGATGAAGACCTGCGAGCCATCCTCTGGCACCAGCCCAGGGTGGACATACGCCTGCATGGGCAGCGCATTCCTGTAGGAGGGGCAGCAGGAGAACCAGGAGTTGAGGACGTCCCGGCGCCGGACACAGTGGTGGATGAAGATGAAGAATCCCAGCACCACGGCGGTGACGCCGTAGAGGCAGCTGAAGACGATGTTCAGGTACCAGCGCTGGGACACGGCCATGGCGCCGAACGTCCACAGGGCGATGTACAAGGCGTGGGTGATCACCAGTGCCCAGAATTGCACCTGCAGAGAGTAGACGCCATCCGCCTCGGGGCAGGGCGGCCCTGAGTTCAGCGTGACCGAGATGGACCCGGAGTCTGTCAGGAGGTCACCGGTACCCCCCAGCCGTGGTGGTGGCTCCAGCGGCTCGGGGATGTCTTTTCGGCGCGACGGTTGGCACTGGAGGCTGAGCCCGGCGCAGAGAAAATAAATCCAGGTAACGAGCAAAATGAAAGCCACGGGGACGTAGAAAGCCCCTAAGCTGGGCCGCCACACCAGCCAGCAGCTGTACAGGAGGAAAGGGGCTTTGATGAGCAGACCTGGGTGCCTGTGCAGCCGGCAGCCATGCATCGTAGTACCGTGATGCTCAGCCTCCCTGGCCCGATGGCACGGGCTCTGCGGAGGCATGCTGGCTGCCTGGCTGTTGTTTTCCCAATATAGGGATAGCTCTTGGGAAAGATCTCACCAGCCTTTCCCAAGCTTGCCTGGATTCCTGGCACTGCTGATTCCCCTTGCCCAGGTGGAAGGAGGCCACCTGTTTTGGGGAGGAAGGCATGGTTGAGCAGGGACACTTACTAGGGGTTGTTGTCATGGTAGTTGTGGATGTTGACAGCTGCTGTGATCCCGCAGATGATGAGGGGGATCCCGCCGGCGATCAGGTAGAACCTGCACAGGGGGGACGGTGTCACCGCACACCCGAAGCGAGCCCTCAGGAGAGCGTAGCACGGCTGCGGGTGGAATGGGCTTATACGGCAGAGCAAGTCCTGCCCAGCCTCTGGACGTTGGGCAGGGGAAGCTCCCCCGGCTCCCTGCTCCCCCGTGGGGCCGGGGCGAGGGGAAGGGGCATTCGTACCGTAGCATGGGTCTGGGGGCCGGCTGGGATGCTTCCCCGTCCGGCTGCTGCGGTGCCTTCCAGGTCACTTCCTTGTAAAGCACTCGGGCTTTCACGGCCATCCACAGCAGGGTGGAGAGGGAGGAGTAGTGCAAGATGATGCCGACCTGCGGGGCAGAGGCAACAGTCGGGAAGGGAGATGCTGCAGACACAGCTGCGTCCCCACCGGTCACCATCCTGCAGGTCTTGGCAGGGTGAAACCTCGCCATGCTGGGCTCTGCGAATTGCAAAGCAGCCCCGGGCAGCGTGTGGTGGCTGTACCAACCGCTTGGCAGACGATCAGGTAGCCAGTGAGGGTGATGCCTCCCGCGAAGATGGCAGCTGTCATGGCGATGTGGAAGCAGAGGTTAAGCAGCATGTGCCAGCCTTTCCGCGGGATGAGGATGGTGCTGGAAGAGAAGCACAAAGTGTGCCCGTGAGCTCCTGCCCGGCCCCGAGAGGGACAGTTATTTGCGGCATGTGAGAGAGCCACAGCACAAATCCTGCCTCCGCTGCTCTGGAGGGATGCTCCGACACAGCCTGTCCCCAGCCAGGCAATGGAGTATGGCTGATAAAGAAGCCGTGCACATAAGTGCATGCATGTGGGTGAAGGACTGCTCGTAGCTGCTGGCAACGTGTTTGTCACGGGGCTCTCGGCAGGGAGCCACCGGTGCTGGGATGCAGGGAAGGGGACGGCAGGAGCTGGGCTGGAGGAAAGGGATGCTCTTCTAGTGCCCCTGGCTCTGGGTTGTTCCTGCCTTTGGCTGGGCAGCATCGCGTTTTCATCGCGAGATGTGGGCTGATAGCACTGCCCGGCTTTGCTGGTGTTCGGTTCACTTATAGCAATGGGAATGGCTTGGCCTTACAGTTATCTAAATAAGTACTTGTTCAGTGTTAGATACTATAATTATTATCGGGTTCTTCCAACCGGGTAGTAGTTAGATGTGGACTGATGATAGTGTTGCTTGGCTTTAACTGTTAATAGTGGTTTCACTTATCATAAATTGAATGGCTTGGCCTTATATGTATCTCATTAAGTACTGTTAAGTATTTGATATAATAATTACTGTTGGGTTCCTCCAAATAGGTGATAGCTAGATGTGGACTGATAGTGTTGCTTGACTTTTTGTTAGTGTTTGCTTCACCTGCAGTAAGGGGAACGGTTTGGCCTTCTGTGCATCTCATTAAGTGCTTGTTAAGTGTTAAATATAATACTTATTATTGGGGTTTTTTTTCTGAGAAAATGGTAATAGATGTGGGCTAATAATGCTGCTTGAATTTGTTAGTGTTTGTTTCACTTATAATAAGAGGAATGGTTTGGCCTTATATTTATCTCATTAAGTACTTGTTAGATATAATACCTATTATTGGGTTCTTCCTGAGAAATAGATAATAGATTTAGCTAACAATGTTGATTGACTTTATTAGTGTTTGTTTCACTTATAGTAAGAGGAATGTTTTGGCCTTATATGTATCTCATTAAGTGCTTGTTAAGTGTTAGATATAATCGTTCCTGTTGGGTACAGAGTAACAGATGTGGACCGAGAGCAATGTTGGCTTTGTTAGTGTTCGTTTCACTTAGAGCGGAAGGCTCTTCCTTTGGCCTTATGTGCGTCTCATCAAGTACTCGTTAAGTGTTAGATATAACTATTGCTGTGTTCTTATCGCTTTAAAGAATCGCTTGTTGGTAAGTGGCCTGCTGAGATGGTCTCACCCTGGCTCATGCAGCGACTGTTGCCCTGGACCCCTCTGCATCCTGGTCGGGGGGCGGAGGGTGGGCTCGGTGTTAACTGGGGCAGTGAGGGGCTGCTGCTGCACCTGGGGCTCCGCACAGGACCCGCTGCTGAGCTCTGCTCGCTGCTGCCTTGCAGAGGTGATGGAGGAGCAGTGGAGAGCCTTTGCCCCTGGAGGGAGCCCAGCACCGGCCTGGGATGAGGCTCTGGCAGCACGGCTGGCCCTGCTCCTGCCCTTTGCTAAGAGGTGCCCTGTTCACTCCACCCCGCTTGCTCATGGGGCACTGCTTTTGTAGAGGGAAGGCCCTCCTGCACCTGTCCAGCCCACCGCTCTGCTGCCCAGCGCCCCATTGTCCCCTTGCCTGGGGGCTCACTGGCCCCAGGTATGGGGCGATCCCATCCCTGAGCCCCAGCTGTTCACCATTTCTGACCCAACGAGGTCTCAGGGGGTCTTCACTCCCACCCTCAAAGTCCCACTCACCTCCTCCATGCTTCACGTTGCAGGACAAGACAGCCAACCAGCCCAAGGCCCCCATTGCCATAAAGGCAGGACGCATCCAGCCATCGCCCCGAACCGGCTCCTGTGGCAGTGCCACTTGCCAGGCAACACGTTCCTGGAGGGCTACCTCCTGAAAACCCATGTCCTAAAGGGCCACGTCCTAGAGGGCCATCCCCTGGATGGTCATCTCCTGGACAGCCATCCCCGCACACCTTCCTCCCAGCCATTGGCAGCAACTGGGGAGCTCCTCCAGCTGCCCACAGAGACACCCCCCCAAGCACAGCCAACCATCACCACGGCCAAGGCTGGCACCAAGACGCTCACTCACCCGTGGTTGACGATGTAGGTGATGATGGTGGTGAAGAGGCAGAGCAGCAGCACAGCCGTGCAGGTGTACATGGCCGGGTGCAGCACCTCCACCGCGCCTCGCGCCTCGCTGGGGAAACCGCTCAGCTCCTGCATAGCACAGCACAGCCTGTCAGACCCTGTGCCACCCATCCCCGTCCTCCCATCCCACCCCACCACCCCCCTGCAACCCTCAGGCTCCACACCCCTGCCCCGGGCAAGGCTCCCAACGCCGTTGCTCACCCCCCGCCTACCATGAGCACAGCCACGTTGCTGAGGTGCCGGCAGTGTAGGGAGGTGACGTTGGGCTCCCGGGCGGCCAGCTGGCACCCCTCGGCGCTCCAGCCCCCCATGCCCCCCAGCACCTCGAAGTTCCAGTATGCAGCCACCGGGTCCGCACCCTCCCCAGGGTGCCGCAGCGACACGGCCACTGGCTCTGACAGGTTTCCCACTCCGCAGCCATCTGCAGCAACAGAGAAATCTGGTCAGCAGGACAAGAGACACCCCTCTGCCTGCACCCTCAAAAGGGGCTGGGCATAGGGGACCCCCCCCATGGCATCCCATAAGCACACTGCCACCTCCCCATGAAGACCCCCAGGGATGGCTTTGCTCTGCAGGAGCACCAGGGCACAGCCCAAGGACCCCTATGGAGCTCCATCCCCCAAGAAAAGCCCCACATGGGGCACCCCAGCCCCCCTGATAACAGGCAGCCCTTACAGGTCCCAGCGTAGATGACCGGCGTAGCCACGCTGCGGCGCTTGCCATCGTCGGCCAAGCGGGAGGAGTTGCCCGTGCTGCAGAAGAGCTTGCCATTGCGGAAGACCAGCAGCTGGAGCTTGCAGTCAGCCAGTGGCGTGGATGGGACAGGGCTGGTGAAGAGGCTGGGCGGCAGCTGGATGGAGGCCAGGGCGATGCTGTTCTGCGGGTGCATGGTCACTGGTGAGCAAGGGCCAAGTCCCCCCCGCCCAGGACCCCCCCCTTGGTCCTCCGGCTTACCCATACCTTGATGTGGAAGCTGGTCAGGGAGACATTGGGGCGCCCCGTGGTGCAGCGCAGCCTCAGCTGCTGGTCGGGCACGGGCTCGGCCCCCCGCTCAGCTGGGGGGGAACGCCCAGCTGGACCCCCATCTCGCCGCTGGAAAGCCACGCAGCTCAGCCCCACGTAGCTCTCGGGCTTCACCACGTATGCCTCGAAGGCGATGTTGCGTGAGTTCTGCCAGGCACAGCGCCGCGGGGTGGCCATCAGCCCTGGCACAGCCAAAGACCCCCCCCCGGCACGGCCAGAGACCCCCCAGCTCGGCCAGAAACCCCCAGCATGACCAGAGAGACCCCCAGCACAGGCAGAGACCCCCAGCACAGGCAGACCCTGCACCAGTAGCCCAACCACCTCCTCCTCCTTCCCCCGGCTCAGCCCCCCATCTCCAGGCAGCCCCCCTTGCCCCCCCACTCACCACCGCCATGTGCTGGGAGTTGCTGCTGAGTGTGTGGGCAGCGATCTTCTCCAGGGAGCGGACGATGCTGGTGCAAGCCTTCTCCTCCTTCTGCGACATCCACAGGATGTGGTCGTCCACCAGCATGATGTTGCTGGCCATCTCCACGATCACGTCCGTCAGCTGCGAGGACAGCAAGCGGCTCCACAAAGAGCTACTGCCATCCCCAGCAGCAAACACCCCAATTCATGTTTTTCAACCCCAAAACCACTCGGTAGCACTGGGGCAAGCAGGGGACAGGAGCAGCACTCGTTACCTGCTTGATCTGGTCCACGTAGCCAATAAACTTCTCTATCATCTGGGCCACGTAGAGGACATCAACCATGTCCGAGAAGTTGGCCGCCTCGGCTGTGTAGACACGGAGCTGGTGAGCCAGGGTCAGGGCGTTGGAGGCATTGATGGGCATCTGCAGAGCGGCATGACCACAGTGGGGGGACGGTCACCGGCTGCGCCAGCCCCCCCGGCACGGGCAAGCCCCCTCCCGGTCCCCGGCTCACCAGCACGAAGGTGTAGAGGACGCGGGTGATGTCGTTGGTGTAGAGGCAGTGGGAGTAGTCGCCCTCTTCCCAGCGCCCGGCGCGGTCGCAGCGCCGCCATGCCTGCTTCTCCGCCGCCGAGCCCCCGCCAGCCGGCCCCGCGGCGAAGGGGTACTGCAGGCAGGGCTGGTAGGCGGTGATGCCTGCCAGGGTGCGGGGCCACCTGCGGATGCCGATTAGACGGTGACCGTGGGGCACTTGACACCAGCAGCCCCCATCCTGCTGCAGACGGGCACCCACACCCCACCACAGCCTGCTCCCCCTGCATGGACCCTGCCCAGCACCATGCCACGGCCCATGGGCACCCCAGCCCCCAAATCCCTCCCAAAAGCCCCTGAATCCCCTTGGCTCCAGGGGGGCTGAGGGCGATGCTCCCTAGAAAGCTGCCGCCCCCTCCCCAATCCCGTAGCCCGCTCGGCTCAGCGCAGCACAGAGGGAAGCAGCGGGCGGCAGGGGGGGCACCGCTAATTTAAGCCACATTGACTGTACCAGTAATTTATATTCCGTAACAGCCCCGCTGGGGTTACAGCGGGCGCCCGGAGCCTTTCGTCTCATGCCAGAGAAATTCCAACACCTCTGCTGCTGGAGCCGGGCTGCGCCGTCGGCACGGGAAACCCTTCAAAAGCGCTTGCACTCCCTGCAGCCACTAATCGCTACCAGACGCCCGGTCACCTGCGGTGAGCCCCCCGCCCCGGCACGCACCGCTCACGCTGTATGTGGCACGCACCACGCAGACCCTCACCCCACTGCGGCACCCACCCTGTGGCCAGGCCACCGCCGGTCCCTACCTGAAGTCGCCACGGTTGTTGGTGACCCGCTCGGCAGGGCAGTAGGACGCGGATGTCTCCAGCACCACGATCTCCACCTTCTTGCTGACATTGCCCTGGGAGGTGGAGACGGAACACTCCCACTCGCCATTGGCAGAGACGTGGATGTTGGAGAGGATGAGCTCGCTGCAGGCAGAGGGGACAAGCTGGCACAGTGGGTCTGGCCCACAGCAAACCCACAGCAGTGGTCCCCCAAGCTTGGACACGTGGGGACACACACCACGAAGCACAGGAGGGGCCCACACTTGGCATCCCACCCATGGCACTTGGTACCCGCAAACCAGCAAGCCATGCAGCCACGAGTGTCCGTCCCCATCCCCATCTCGTCTCCCTTGCTGTCCCTATCCTATCTCCATCCCTGTCCCCATCCCATCTCCATCACTGTCCCCATCTCATCTCCATGCCCACCTCATCTCCATCCCATCTCCATCACTGTCCTCATCTCATCTCCATCCCCATCCCATCTCTATCACTGTTTTTATCTCTCTCAGTGTCCTCATCTCATCTCCTTCTCCATCTCCAGCTCCATCACTGTCCTCATCTCATCTCCATCCCCATCCCATCTCTATCACTGTTTTTATCTCTCTCAGT